GCTGTGACCCCATGGGAAGCCTGCACTGGAGCAGGCTCCTGGCAGGACCTGTGGACCCATGGAGAGAGGAGCCCAGGCTGGAGCAGGTTTGCGGGCAGGACTTGTGACCCCGTGGGGGACCCACGCTGGAGCAGTCTGCTCCTGAAGGGCTGCACCCCGTGGAAGGGACCCACGCTGGAGCAGTTTGTGAAGAACTGCAGCCCGTGGGAAGGGCCCACGCTGGAGAAGTTGGTGGAGGACTGTCTGCCGTGGGAGGGACCCCGCGCTGGAGCAGGGGAAGAGTGTGAGGAGCCCTCCCCTGAGGAGGAAGAAGCAGCAGAGATGACGTGTGATGAACTGACCGCAGCCCCCATTCCCCATCCCCCTGTGCTGCTGGTGGGGAGCAGGTAGAGAAATCGTGAGTGAAGTTGAGCCCAGGAAGAGGGGAGAGGTGGGGAAGGTGTTTTAAGATTTACTTTTTATTTCTCTTTATCCTACTCTGATGTGATTGGTAATATATGAAATTAATTTTTTTCCCAAGTTAAGTCTGTTTTGCCGATGATGGTAATTGCTGAGTGATCCCCCTGTCCTTATCTCGACCCACGAGCTTTTCATTATATTTTCTCTCCCCTGTCCAGCTGAGAAGGGGAGTGATAGAGCGGCTTTGGTGGGCACCTGGCATCCAGCCAGGCTCAACCCACCACAGCTGGCTTAGGACCAGCAGTCTGAGAAGTTTGCTTGCCTAGAAAGCATTTGTACAGCGTGCCAATGAGTTGGCCCTGGCACAGCAAGATAAAAAGATACTAAAAACAAACCCAGCAGTGACAGCATTACTAGCTGCAGTTTTCCTCCACCTTCTCCCCCAATTTAAACCTCACAGAGCGTTTGCTTCTAAATCTAGCAATTACTGGAAGAACAGACACCACAGGTCTGTTAGAGTTTCAGGGACCGGGAGAGGAGCAAAATGCCAGTTGCTAATGACTCTCTGGCTGATTTCTAGTTCAATTGTTTTTCAGCCTGCCTTGGCTAGGAACTGGGAGATGGGATTCTACATTCACAGCGGTATAAATTATTCCTCTCTAGATGTGGTAGTTTGCGAGATACCACACCATAAAACTTCTGCACTTACCTTAATCTAGCAGGTTTTCTGACTCTGTTCCAGAATACAATATAATAGTTCTGCCTCTGGACCAATGCCATTTTCATGCTATAATATAGTGTGCACTTTGGACCATAGTGTGGCATGGACTTGAGGTGAATTTCTTAAAAATTGCCAACCTTTTATTTGGCTGTTAAGCTGACTTTCTTAATATTTACATTAGCAATATGTTTAAATAGAATCCTAGTTAATGTTTTATTTGAAGAGTTTAGAATTTCAAATTGTTAAAATAATATACTTACGATGAAGTTTGGATCTTTAAATGGTAACGGCTTGACAGTTGTTTCCACTGATCCTGTGCTGGAGTCTGTGTTCAGAAATTTGTTTTCATTCATGGCCTCTCCACCTGCACTCTGAAGGAAAAATACAATCTTACTGCTTGTTACTCTGAGCAAGTTTAACTGGAGACAGAGCTGTCTGCTGCACTACCTACCTGTTTCCTTTTTAGCCTTTCTATCTCTTTTGAATCTTTAAAGATGTTGCATGCCAGAAGTGGAGAAGCATGAAACAGAGTATTTGTCAAGCAATTTACAACTGACACATAAAGGCGAGGAGGGGAATAGAGCAGCCAAAGCCTACTGAGTAAAAACAGCATCGGGTTTATTTCAGTATTAATGAAAGCCATCTCTGTAAAGTGCAAGACAGCAAGTGAACCCAGAAACAGCAGAAATGTACATTGGATTTGTTTCAGAATGTTCAGTATTAGAGCATTAACAGGAATATGTAAAATTTACAAAAAAGTTTATTGTCAAGGTTCTAAAGAAGAATTGATTAATCAGTTTATTCTCCATATTTGGCTTCAATCATACCTGAGTGAGGATTGAGGGGAAAAAAAGATTTCATTTTATATATTATTTTAATATACAACCCTCACAAAATCTACATTGGTACTAGATGGGTGTTTTCTAGGCTTTTTTTTATGGTTTATTTATTTAGCAGGAAGAGCAGTTGGAGAAGGTGTGCGTGTGATGTGATTGGAAAGGTAAAAAAGTTGTGCGGCAGTCTAAATTTCTGATAGTTCTGCATGGCTGAGTCCATGTTGGTTTTTTATTTTGCGAGCGCCCTGTAAGTCTCCACACTACCAGAACTAGCCCACGCTACGTACATAAATGTTCCTCACAAAATCCTGATCCATACTGAAGCCAATGAGAATTTTGCCATTGTGTTTGGCAGTTCAATCAATAGGATTTCATACCTCGATTCTTTTTTCTTGAAGAACAAAAAGCTAAATCAATATTTACTGAATAGGTGGTTAAAATGTTTCTTTACCTTCAGACAGATAATACTTAGAACAAAAAAAAAAAAGTTTTCCTCTGAAAACCTGCACTGCAAAACCTTCTGTGTTGACACAATACTCTCTTAAGTAGGAGAAAAAAAGGATCATTGTTATTAGTGAATTATGGAAGTACCTCTAGAAACAGGCTATATAGCAAAGGCCATGATTCTGTCCTTCTCCATGTGATTACAAGCGAAGTGTTTGTATTCTTAACTACATGCATAAGTAATTGCAGGGTTAGGAACCAGGCAAGTTGAACTCTTCTTTGGGGAAATACATCAGTTATTCACCAGTGCCTATTTTTAACATAGCAAAGAGAGGTCTTAAATATTCAAAGTATGGTATAAAGAAGCATTCAAGTAAAATAGTCACGTTTCTAGAGTCTTATTAAAATATATGAATAGAGATGATCTACTTTCAAAACCAGAGTCAGTCCTCTGTAAGCTCCTAGTACAGGGGATACTGCCAAAATAACATCAGTGGAAGCAGCATTGAAGTCTGTAGCTTAAACTTGGTTCTTCCCTTGCTGAGGACAACATTAAAAGGCAGTGACTGTCACAGAAACACTAAAAATACAGACGGATGTTCAGAAACATGTGCATTATGTGGCAGTGAGTAGAGAAGATGACATCTTGAGCAATGCTGAGTAAAGCGGCTTTATACAGTGAGTTGCGAGGTTTCAAACTATATTCTTGCACACGCACGCTTCCACCCCTTTGGATTTCAGCAGCAAACATTAAAGTCAATCTTGAGAAAGACAAGGCTTGAGGTACAAGATTATTTTTGATTAATAAAGTATCTCTGACACTGCTCATTATCCATGTAAATTCTGTAAGTGGAGGAATCGGCACTCGCAGTTATTCTTCAAAGTGTTCTCGCCTTTTATTTGGTACCATTTGGTTGGTTTTAAATCCAATCCTACAGTTATTTATTAATTACTTTATCACTTTTGCCCCTTCAGCAATCTTCTCCTAAGTATTCTGTTGTTTATGAAACAGGTTTTGAGTAGCATTTCAACCATACCTCAAAACAGCATCTAGTATTTTCAGATGGAGCAAATTAAAAATCATTTACCACTAAAGGGGAAGAAGCTTCCTTATACATATAGCCCTTAATTTCTGCAGCTGGATACATTTACAGATTACACTCACTGTCTTCAGTGGGTTTTTCTGTGTGGATTCAGTGCTAATCTTGCTGTCTCATTGGCAAGGAAAGTCAGGAACTGTTCCTGGCAAGACAATTCCTAAATGTAAATTCTACACGTCGTTTCTTTTCCGGACCAACCCCTAAGGGATTTCAGGTATTAGTGCTGCTAAGAGTCGGGATAACTCATGTTACAGGCCAGATGTTAATTTTGTTTGTGCTGGTATCCCTTGCACAGTGGCAGAGGCAGCAGGATCTGGAGCAGCAGCTGCTGCTTTTCTGGGCCATGTGGACACCCAAGCCATCCTCCAGTCCCACCGAGACGTAACGCCAGCAGGAGCTTCTGGAGCTGTCATGGACAATTTGAGAGCAGTGGTTTCCTCTCCAAGGCAAAGAGTGCAGGCTGCTGTGCAGGACTGTACAGCAGCTTGCATACCATAGTGGTATGTGATTGATACCATGATTTCAGAGCCCTGTGATAGGCTGGGAAGCAAACAGGACTGAGTACTATGATCCCAGTTAAATGCTGGGAACTGAGATAAAGCTACACTGTAGAGGCATGCCAGTTCCCTCACTCAGCCTTGCTTATATGACAATTCTGATTTTTTTACCAGTAGCACTATCAAAGAGAGATACTCAGCTAATGTGCTTTTCTTTCTGGAAAAACATTAAAGAGCTGAGTAGAAGCACTGCTTCCAGAACAATGTGCTACTGCACAGAGGAGTGAACTCCAGCAAGTACAAAGCTTTGAAATGCTCTTTCCATGCAGCCTGCACAAGTCTCAGCTGATATCCTCAGCACTTTTTCAGCCACAAACTGAAAGTCTCTCAACAATCTACAAACCTCTCCAGCCTATGTTTTAAAATGCCAGGATTTAAAGCACAAGAAACATCATTTAATGTTTCAGGTTTGTTTTTTGGAAGTTTTTTTAAAGGCGGGGGAGAGATGCCAAATGAATTTTAACCCATATGGATCTACCTTTGTACTGCAAAACCCATGTTTCCTGAAAGTGATTAATACAGTGATAATACAACACATTATTTACAGCCTGAAAGAAGATTCCTCAGTGAACAATTACTGTACAGCAATCTTTAACTTTTAACATTAGTTGAACAAATCTCTCCCAAGTGTGCTTGTTTGCTTGGTCGTTTAGTTTGGAAGGTAGTTCATTCTTCACTGTCATGTGTTGGGGCAAACAAACAGGAATGAATTCAAATCCCCTTTGTAGTCCCATGAAGTGACGGCGGTCTTGTGAGCACAGTGAGGAAGCACCTGTCACCGGGAAACATGTACTGCTCAATGTGTGCTGTAACCCGAAGTCACGTGTGGGGTAACTTCCCCTTCCTGCCAAATTCACAACCGGTGCCCAGCACATTTTCTCTAGCCAGCCAGTCTCTTAGCTAGCTCCCTCACCCCAGCATCCTAGGATAATCCCAAATGCTTTGCAGTAGGGCTAGAAAGAAAGTGTAACCATGGGCTGAAACTCTTGATAGCTTCTTTAAAGCTTTTTTTTAACTGATCTTGTAATGTAGACGTCCTTTATGGGGAGCTCAATGTACACTTCAAGGAGAGAGACAGTGAAGCTGCTTTTAATGTGCACTTTATAACTAAATTGTGTCTTTTAAATGGTGGTTTCTGTAACTAGGGCTACAGGGAATTTGTGCTAGAATAGTCACTAAGCAGTCTGTATTCCTCCACATACAGGCTGTTGAAGATTATAACAAAGACTTTGGAGTGCCTTTACATTTACAGGGTACATCTGCACTGACAAATGAAGGTGTGATTTCAGTACAGCTGAACATGCTTATGCTAGTTTTACCCCAAATAACAATAAAAACACTACAGTAGAGACTGTAGCTAAGCCATCAGTAACTACATTCATCCTTTCCCATCGACTCTTCCTCTGGCTGTTAACCTCCACAGAAATCCAGGCTGCCACCACTTCTCATGTTACCTCCCTCTGTCCTCCTCCTCCTCCTCCCTGCATCATCCTTAGCCAGGCGTAGACCAACCTTGACTGGAGTGGCATGCTTTAAAAGTTGTAGGCAGCGGGTCAAAGGCTTGTTGTAGGACCACTTGTGCAATTTTTTTCCCTCTATAAAGTTGTGTTTATGTGCTTAGCTGAATTTTAACTACAACCACAGTGTGACAGGTTGGCAACCTCTATCCTTCTTGGGATGGATGGGAGCAATAGTGAGAGGTGCTGCTTCATTTTGGCATTTTGTTCACAGGACCATCTATCGAGTATTCAGTGCATCCCAGCTGGCTGAGACACTATCCTCCCTGTTACGTACTGGGACTGGGTGACAGTCGCCGAGTGAGGAAGCTGGCTGAGGACTTCACTTGGTTAGGAGACAGCAAAAATACGAGAGAGAGCAAAGACCTGCAGCAAACACTTGGGAGTCCTAAGAGGTTTGTTATAAGAGCAGCCGAGTCTGGGGAAGAGACCTGAGCTAAGTTTTGCTACCTTAACACTGGTTTCTTTTGAATAAAGCCAAACCCCAGGAATGAGCCTATTTTGGACCCTACTGTATATGCTGTCTGTACTGGGAGAAAACACACATTGGGAAGCTGCCTATGCATATACTATGTTCAATCTTAGGTTTTGGTAGATCTATTAATTTTTTCAATATATTCTGTTCCAAATTCCCTACCGCAGATGTATTGGTTTTCGCATGATTTCTAAAGATTGCTCCATCTGTCTGGTTTTATTTAGGGAGAGGACAAGCAAAACTTGTAGACCATGGAAGCTAAATTCTTTGTTTTGGCTATTTCTAGGTAGAATCAGCATTGTGGGGTTTGGGATGGGTGTCTGTGATGGGACTAAATACCGAGTGGAATTAGCTTATTATGAAAGTGCTTGTCTGAATCATCATCCCCTCCACCACCACCACCTCCGCCCCAGCAAGGATTAAAACTGCATAACAGAATAACTGATACATGCTGAAATACATTTCTTACCTATTTACTTTTGGATTATATTCTATAATATTTTTCATTATTTTAGACTAACAGGATTTTACGAAGTGTAAAAAACATAAAAAAATATGAAACATAAAAGTCAAAGATGTAAATTTGTACATTTCTGGCATCCTATCACTGCATACCATGCATGTCATGGCTTAGAAAAAAAATGGATTGTCACATCACTGAAAGTACACTACGATTGTCAGTGGCCATTTTCGCTAGATGTTAGTTTTAGATGGTAAAACAGAACTCAAAAATAGAAGGTAAACGGAACAGTGTGTTGGTAAAGCAAAACTTAAATGCATAAATAAATTCCGTAGGAACTGGAAAGGGAGTTTCTAGTTCAAGGGAGCAAAAACAATACTGTAAACATTGATTTCCTCTGTCTGTTTTGTTTTCTGCAAATCATTCATTCGTTAGTCAGTTTTAACACTATATTGAGTACAGCAATTGTAGATGAAGGTGATTACATATGTAGTTTTTTTAGTTTGGTTTTGCTTCTGTGTTCAGTATTTCAGAGTATCATACTCTGGCTTTGTCTTACAGTGATGACTAGGGGCTTGTACGTCACTATTTAAAAATAAGTAATAAGAGGGGTCTGGTTCTAAATTAAGCCCTCACACTTGGTGATAACTTTGCCCCAAGCACCCAGTTTGGCTTGCTGAGGAACCCACTTGTCTCCAATCTTTGTACGTGAAGTTCAGTAAATAGTTTAAATTAGTTTTACTTACTTTTGGCAGCTGATTTGCATAATCACAATAATACTGCAATGACATTCTCAGTTTCATTGATGCAGTTTTTTTTTTACTCAGCCTCAATGATTGTATATGTCTAATTATTCCTGTAGTAGGTTACTTCTAAAGCAGCAATATCCAACTTGTAGCAACTTACTCAGCTTTTAGCTATGTGTAAGTTCTGTAACATCCTGATGAAGCTGTGGCATACAGCCAGGGAACAAAATGGTAATTTATAAAATAGATGGATAATACCTGTATTTTCACTAGCAACCAATTACAGTGAGTGAGAATGCCATGCGGAAACAGAGCACGAATGTCACTTGATGACAGCAGCGATGATACAAGCAGACTTTTCAAAATTGGGAGTAGACTTTGAATGTCAGCTATTTAACAGAGTCCCAGCTAATACTGCTCATACTGGAACATATATTAAGCTGTTTGATTAATATATTAGCTCTCACTGTATAACAAGCTTGGCACAGGCTCTTGCACATTCTGAGTATTTAATTTATTTAACTTTGCATGATGACATGACAGGAGCCATTAAAAATTGAACATGTACACTCTGGCAGACAAAAATGCAGCTCTTTACACTGCTGAGAACAATTCACAGAGAAAGGTGTCAGAATTAGACATGCTTAAGCTCAAGTTAAAATGATAGCTAAAAAATTTCTCATCACCAACGTTATTAGCATAGTGCATTTCTGAAAGCAAACTCACTCAAGATTCAATAACCATGTAAAACTGAAGAAATAGCACTGTCTTGAACAAGATTAACTCTCTCCACGTCCATGACAGAAAGGTTTGCTGGAAAGACTTATTCAGTAACATGTATAAACATGTCTTAACCATCTGGTTGCATTTTACTGGTTCTTGGATTCAGCA